GAGGAGAGAAGGAAGGAGGGCGGGAGGGAGGAAGGAAGGGGGGAGGACAGAAGGAAAGAAGGGAGGGAGGAGAGAAGACAGGTCCAGTTTAACTCTTTGAACTCAGGATGTGTCCTCTTCGTTTTCTCTGAACGAATTAATGAATAAATTAGCTGCAGCTCTGATCTCATTGGTCACGGTCAGACGAGGCTTAACGAGGTTAATTACTGAGCGGAAGGGGCGGAGCAAAGATGGAGTACCTTGAGGAATCGATGCAGCAGGAAGGTGAACCAGTTGGTCAGCATCTTCTCAGCAACAGACTCCGTCCTTAAAAGGACAGAAGACAGAGGTCAAAGGTCAGAAGGGAGCAATCTGATTGGTCACATCAGGCTGGACAGGAAGGAGCAAACAGGTTCAGTTAGGAAGGAAAGGAGGAGAGGAAGGAGGAGAGGAAGGAGGTAAAGTGTTCAGCATGTCTTTGCTGTGTGTGTCATCATTTTATGGTTGTTTTGTGTGTTTTGCTGTCGTACTGAAGGAAGGAAGGAAGGAAGGAAGGAAGGAAGGAAGGAAGGAAGGAAGGAAGGAAGGAAGGAGGCGAACTAAAAGTGACATCAGGTGAACTCAGGTGAGGGCCACCGACCTCCTCAGCAGCAGTTTGGGATGGTTCCGGTTCTCCAGGTTCTTCTCGATGAGGTCGGCCAGCAGCTGCTTCAGCACCACGGTGGCGTATTCCATCCGACCCTGGACACACAAACACACACTCAGTAAATACCGATCAGCGAATGATCAGATTTAAACAATCAACCTGTTATTAGCAGGTGTTAGCTACTTCCAGCTAATTTATAATGAACCAAATGCAAAAAAAAATCTGTTAAACTGTCATTAACATTTAGAAGTTATTGATATTATACAACACAAAAAGTTTATTTAGCAGATTTAGTACACGTGTATTAGCAACACTATTAGCAGTATGATTAGTAGTGTAATTAGCAGCAGTATTAGCAGCGCTACTAGCAGTGTGATTAGCAGTGCTATCAGCAGCGTTATTAGCAGCAGTATTAGCAGCGCTGCTAGCAGTATGATTAGCAGTGTTATTAGCAGTTACCTGCAGGGCGGCCATCAGCAGCGATGCTACGTTCCCGCGGTCCCTCATTGAGAAGGACCTTTGGGCCTCCAGTGTGTGGATGAAGGTCAGCAGAAACATCTTGTTGTTCAGCAGCTGGCTGAAGAGTCGCAGAGCTTTTTCCACGTTCGCTGGAGACTGAACAGAAGAAGTACAGAGTCTGGACCTGATGGACTAATCTGTCAGAGGCTACATATACAAGTGGACCAGAACCAACACCAGAACCAACTGGACAGCAAGGAAGAGGTACTGAGGGTGTCTGCTGCTTTGCTAACCAACACCTTGAACACCACAGTCTACATATAGAGATGATCCCTAAACCTGAATACAGATAAATAAACCTGATTAGACAGAAAAACAACCTGAAATAGTCGGAATAAACCAGAATCAACTAAGAGAAACCAGATTAAACTGGATTAAACCTAATTAAACTTAAACAAACCAGAAAAACATAAATAAACTTGAACCAATCTAATTAAACCTGAAAAAATCTGAGATAAACCTGATTAAAATAATCCTGAATAAACAAAAGTAAACCCAAACAAACATCCATCTATTATCTATACACCGCTTAATCCTCACTGGGGTCGCGGGGGGCTGGAGCCTCCAAACAAACATGAATAAATATAATTAAATCTAAATAAACCTAAACTCAAATATACCCGATCAAACATCAGTAAACATGATTAAACTTGGACAAACCTGATTGAACCTGATTCAGCTTAAAAAACCTTATGTCAGATAAACCTGATTAAATCTAAGTCAGCACAATTAAACCTGAGTGAACCTACATATAAATACAACCATAACTAACCCTGACTGAACCTGATTACCCCGTGTTTAGCCCCGCCCCCTACGTACGTCGAGCTCCTTCAGGACGGGATGCTCCTCGATTCCTGGGAACATCACCCTCATGGTGTACGTCCGATACTCCAGGAAGGGAATCTTCACGCCGTCCATGTCGTTGGTCAGCTCCTGGATGTCCGTCTGAAGCTCAGCGAACGCTGAAGGAGACAAGGAGACATTGTCACTGAGGGAAGGAAGGAAGGAAGGAAAGAAGGAAAGGAAGGATGAAGGAAGCAGCACCGACCCTCTTTGCACTCCAGCGCCACCCGGCTCTCCAAGTTGTCCATCTGCAGCTGCAGCCGTTTGAGCGTTCGGTCGGCGTCGCGGGTTTTCCTCTTGTAGGCGATGAGCACAGCGATGATGGCGATGAGCAGCACGCCGCCGCCCGCTCCGATGCCGATGATGGCGGGCAGCGTGAGGGCGGAGTCAGAGTAGATGTGGAGCGTGCCCGGTGAGTACTCCAGACCACCAACCAGGATCTGTGGGGAAACATGGAGGGTGTTCAGGTCGAGCCTCATGGAAACATGTATGCATCTATTGGTCCTGTTGGTCTCCATCAGCGTGAACATCTGAACGCTGCAGCTTCATCTCATTGTTCTGATGAAGCTGTTCAGACTCTGGCAGGTTCCACAGGGATCATGAGGGAACAGAACTTTTCAGGTCCAGACTCTAATTCTCAGCTGGATGGAGGTCTGGACTCTGACTGGGCCTCCAGAACCTCACCTTGTTGTCTTCAAACCATCTCTGTGGAGCTTTGGCTGTTTGCTTCGGCTCATTGATGGAAAACAAGTCTTCTCCACGTCTCAGTTCTCCTGCAGACTGCATCAGGTTGTCCTCCAGGATTTCTCTACACTCTGCTGCATTCATTCACCCTCTACCTTCACAAGCCTTCCAGGCTGCTGCTGAGAAGATCCCCACATCATGATGCTGCCACCACCGTGCTTCACAGTGGGGATGGTGGGTTTATGAAGATGTGCAGTGGTTGGTTCTCGCCAAAACTAGTGTTTAGTCTGATGGACAAAAAGCTCCATCTTGGTCTCCTCAGACCAGAGAACCTTCTTCCAGGTGACTTCAGAGTCTCCACATGTCTTCTGGTGAACTCTAGTCCAGATTTAATCTGAGCTTTTTCCATCAGAGTCTTTCTCTTTGATCGTGTCCCATGAAGCTTTGTACCTCCTTCAGAGGAGTCGTAGGAGTCTTGGTGGCCTCCTTCACTAGTCTCCTTCTTGCTCAGTCATTCAGTCTCTGAGGACGTCCTGCTCAAGTCAGATCTAGTCGTGCCATTTTCCTTCCATTTCTTAATGGTGGATTTAACTGGACTCCACGATAACTAACAAACTAATACGTCACTATAAGAACTATAGTTTTTCTATATCTCTGTATTTTACTATATCTATGTATAGACAGGTTGTACTTGTTCCTGTGAATGTTTTTCTTTTATTCTTGATCATTTTTCCCAAAATGGAAAAATCAATAAAGTATTAGTCACTTAAAGGTTTGTGTAAGGTTGTGTTTAGGTTCCGGTTCTGTTACGTGTCCATGAAATGAATGTAAGTCAGTGTGATGTCCTCAGAAGTGATGGAAACAGGCCTGTGTGTGTGTCCCTCTCTGATCTGTGATATCAGACCAATTACCCATGACTCCCTGCAGCTGTACGTAATGACTTTCACCTTTAGGAAGACCTCCTCCTGCTCCTCCTGCTCCCTCTGTTCTTCTAAATCTGAATCCTGACGCTCATGCTGCTCAAAAAATAGAGACTGTAGCCAAGAGAGACTCACTTTAAAGCTCTTTTCAGCATTTAGAGCTAAAAGACATTCATCTGGTCCCACATCACATCTCCAACCAGTCCAACCACAGACCTGTTGGTCTTGAAAACCAAGAGTCTGATGCTCATGTACAAGAACCTGGAGCATCTTCTGCTTTTATTTTGTGTCTGTTTGTGGTCGAGGTGCGGGGTGACGTCGCCTCCGTGTGGTCGGTGTTATTTACTGAAGTTTTGAGGACCAATCACATTCAGGTACAAAACCAGGCGGGGCTAAACTCACCAGAACTCGCTGCTCTCCGGTGAGATCTGGCGAATCACAGAGCAGCTGGTTCTCTGACACAGTCAGCAGGCAGGGCGACTCTCCAATCAGGACGGTGTAGTTCAGACGGTTGTTGCCGGGAGCCGGCGGGATCAAGTTCTTTCCCTGAAACACAAACACGCGTTCAGACACTTCACGCTTAAATACGGCCGTCGCTTCTCGTTCTTCTTCTGAAGCTCACCTTGAGGATGATGGGCGACCCCGGTTTGACCTCCAGGATCCCAGAGCTCCCCAGAGGGTCGAAGGTGGGGTTCGGGTAGTGAACAAAGGGGGTGGAGTTCAGGACCAGCAGGGAGGAAACCTGGACGAGAACATTCACATCACGTTGTTATTTAAGTGTTAAGTGTTGAGTTCAGAATCTGGTGAAAAGCTTCCATCACATCGTTCTGCTACTCTGAGTTCACTCTGACCCATAAGTACCGGTGGTTCTGAACTATCCCTGAATACGAACAACTGGACTTTCTGATTCTTTCATCCACGAGGTGTTCTTGGTTCTAGCTGGACGGAGAGTTCCAGGATTTATGCTCAGACAGAAAAACAAAAAACTCATCCGGCTCAACGTTCATCAACATGCAGAAAGTCTCATGAATTGAGATCCTCAGGAACCCAGGACTTTCACACCCGAGAACCACCAACGACTCGATAACACAAACTTTGATGGTTTTAAAAACCACATCAAACCCAAATCTTTCACGACTCGAGGACCATCAACAACCCGAGACTCATGCGATTCAAGACTTGTGAACCTGAACAACTCAAGACATTTTAATGACTCGAGACGGTCAGAAGGCCAAAACAGGCATAACTCTGGGATCATCAAAAATCAGAGACTTTTGTGACTTTGAATCCGAGAGTTGCGTGACTCAAGGTGTTACTGGAGGGCAAACCGCCTGGGGAGGGATCTAGGACTGGATCATCAGTAGTGCTGTCACTTACAGACGAATGTTCCAGTTTAACCGAGATCGCTTTATTAGCATCTTCTATCCAGTTCCTATGATGCCGTCCTGAGGTTCCTCCCCCGGCCTTTAATAGGTCTAAACACCGTGAACACTGTGAGTTGTGTGAGTCTTGGGTGGTTAACAGGCCATGTGATCTGGGGAGGAACAAATACTTGGGACTCCCCACCATTCAGTTTGAACTGAGGAAGTCTTTTAGATGATCGTGTAACATCTTGAAGAACCAAAAAACAAGTTCTGTTCCCTTCTACGGAGGCAACCAAGACCAGGATGACTCAGAATCTACAGACATGTTGCTCTCTTTATGGAACGTACAATCCAAATCAACTTCCCTCCACTTTCCACCCCAGTGTCAGAGCTTTTAGGGATATTTTGAAATCTTTGGTAAATTTTCAGAATGTTGTTCTGCACCGACTTAAATCTAGATCGCATAAACGTCAGAACAGAATCACTACGCTGCCGAAGTACAAATACAACCAGTGCCGCTACTCCTGCTGAAGGTGAGTGATACCTGGTCGAAGATGAAGCCGAACTCGTCGGGGCGCAGCGCCCCCTCTGGTGGGTTGGGTTTGCTGTAGATCAGACCGGGGGCCAGGCAGGTCATGGTGCTGTCGTTGACCACGGTGCAGAACTGGACAGAAAAACCCGTCTGGTTAGGATCAGGAGTGTGAAGGTGGCGGTGTTCATGTGTTCATCGATATCGTGTCTGTTTGTCCTCGTTTTGGGTCATTTTGTGTTTTTTTGTGGTTGTTTTGGGTCATTTCGTGTCCCTTTGTAGTAATTTGGTGCCATGTGGTGTCCTTTTGTGGTCGTGTTGTGTCATTTTGCTTTTGGTGGTTTTAAACTGAACGTTTCTTGGATCTGCCATCGTTCCAGTGGAACACCACCAGTAGTCGTCGTTGGGACTCAGCTGTGGGTCGAGTGCTGTCGGTGTTTAATATGTTGTTCTTACGTTGTTAGTTTCCACGCCTCCGTATTTGGCTCTGACTTTGGGCTCCTGGATGGTCAGTAGGTTGGTTCCTGTCACTGTGATCACTGTGCTGCCGCTGCAAACACACAAGAACACAATCACAGGTTACAGATCAATACCTCTGATCGGCTGATTAGTAGACTCTGGATCTGGAGGATTTACTTGAGGATGGTCCAGTTCGGCTCGATGCTGGTGATGGTCGGGTCCTCGGTGTAGATGTATTTGGTCTCGGAGCTCGTCACCTCGGCCCTGTCAATCATCAGACGGATGGGGGCGGGGCCAGAGCCTGTCAGGGAGGCGGGGGTGATGCAGACTATCTCCCGATTGGTCCGTCTGGAAGGACAACGTATGCATTCATTACATGTTCTTTCCTTGACAACACATTTACTAAACAATGAATATCAACAGATCCAGACTGACTTGACAAACAGACACTCTTCCTTGTCGATGTAGACGGTGACGGTGCTGCCGGCGTCCAGGTGTCGACCCGTCACCGTCAGTCTGGTTCCCCCAGAAACGGGCCCCTTCTCTGGGCGAACACGGCTGAAGCTGGGGCTCTGGAGGAGGAGGAGGGTGGAACAAATGGATTTCACACCAGTAGCTCTATTTTATGACAGTTTATTCTTCTAGTCCATCACATTTACCCGACAGCTGTAAGAGTCCTGCATCCAAAACTTTTAAATATGAAACTTTGCTACGGATTAGTCAACAACTAATTAATTAGTAAGTTGATGCTAATGTTATAGCTAACAAGCTAAGAGCACAACCAGTCTGTGAGTAATAGTAGTCGATATGTAGCTGGTTAGACAGAAAACATTTACTGATCTTTTACAGCAAGTGTCCTGGACAGTGAAGATGGCGGCTGGGGAAGTTCAACGGACGTATGCAGGCTCAGGGGGCGGAGCCTGGACACAATGACTCCGCCCCCTGCTCACTGTGCAGCTTTGTGGAAACTCACCACGAATGAGTACGTCTGGGTGGACAGCGTCCGGTACTCGGCGCTGCAGACGCCGATGCAGAGCTCCACCGGACCGCCAGGCGAGTGGGGGAGGAGGGCCTCAGCCATGTCGCACACGATCCTGCAGACACACACGGAGTCAGAACACGCCTCTGACGTGTTCATACCAACACGCTAACACACACTCACCTCTCGGCGCTGATGTACTGCGACGGGACGGGGTTGCAGCGGACGCCGGCCACCTGGACGTGAGCGATTTCCTTCACCTGCAGACCGAGGTTCTCGCCCTCGATGGTGACCCGAGTCCCGCCCTCCCGAGGTCCGGTCAGAGGGTCGATCTGTGGGGGCGGAGCCAGAGATCAGTCTCCTGTTTAACCACAACAATGAGCAGCAGCAGGTCGCAGGTTCGATTCCTACCCTGGTGATGCGCGGGTGGCTGCAGCGCAGGTTGTGTCGGCCGTGATGCATCCAGTTCTGCTCCGGCGAGGGGCAGTGCTGCCGCAGGAGACACCTACGACTCTCAGTGCACCAACCGCACTCAAAGGTGGGCGGAGCCTTGAGACACTGACCGCAGCTGGATCGCTGAGCCTCGCATTTATAGAGCAGCGCTGCAACAAACCACAGACATGCAGAGTGGATGTGTGACCACAGGACCATGCAGCAGAGCAGGTCAAGCTAAAGAACGTCATCATTAATAGATACTGTAGAGCCTCAACCTTAAAACAGTCACATAAATGATACCGTCAGTAACGCTGTGGGGTGGAACCACAAGAACAAAAATACATGTTAATGAATATCAGATTAAATGGGTTAATTTACATAATTAATAATATTATGAGGTTAAATCCTTAATATTTAAACGTGTTCATGTAATTATTAATTTTAATCTTATTTCTCAGACAGGAAACACTTTGGCTCAGAGTTCATTGATTTAAATGTTATATTGAAGTCCTTCAATAAACCATAAATAATGTTAATGAACTGTTTCTCATGTTTACATTCAGTTTTCTTTAATGACGATATTCAGATGTTTAATGTTCAAGCAGAAGTAAAACTGAATATAAATGAGAACATGAGCTGAGCTGTGAATGATGTGACTCCAGGTTCTGTTGTTGGCATGAAGCGACATCTTTCTCTGCTTGATGGTGAGTTTATGCCGCCTGCTTCCATCGTGTGTTTTTATTCTGATCATTAACATCAACAGTCCGGATTAAACGAATCACTAAACATGTGAGAAGACGTTGGGTTGGTTTCTACCTTTCATCGACGCCGGCTTGTCGATGAAGAAATCTCCGTCCCAGACGATGGAGAAGTCGACGGGAAGATCTCCGGCCTCGTCGCCTTCGTACCAGTACTGCAGAGACACAGAGCGTCAGTGTTCATTAGACAACATGTTTCTGTGTCGTTTAGCATCAAACTAATTACAGACGAAGAATCAGAAGAAGAGCAGAAATGAGACCACGTCATGTATGAAGCCGGCGGTTCAGTTTATGTAACTAATGATGCTGTTTATCACATTTATGTAATAAAACCAGTGCAGCGGGGCGACGACGCCCACAGACGACACGTGATTCCTCTGGTCGGTCAATAAAACAGAAACCAAACTGGTCCAGGAATCCTGACAGAAACGTTAAAGTACAGCAGTCACACATGAGATCAGCTGTTTGTGTTGCTTTAAAGTTAAATGAAACTATTTATAACATAAATATTATAAAAAGAACCAACGTTTCTGTCGTCACCGAGTCTAATTTTAATAAACAGATTTACAGAATTAAACTTGAATTTAACAGTTTCATGGGTTAAACAAAACATTTTTAAATAAATTTGTATTCAAATGTTTTTAATGTTAATTACAGTTGTTAGTTTTCTTTATACAGTTCAATATAAATAAATAATAATAAAAACCTTCATGTGTCTGAAAACACAAAGAAAAAAGTTCAAATGAGAAAAGTTTTAACACTTCAACAGTTTTCCTCATAAACCTTAAAAAGAAAAAATGAAAAGAAGACTGAAAATAAACCCGCGCCGTTGTCATGGCGGCGGCACGGTTTCCATGGCAACCAACAAAAACAGCGTCGGGAAAACGACATAATGGATCAGAGCTGATCTACCTGATAAACAGGGAGGCGTTAATGGAGGCAGAGTGTGTGTGTGTGTGTGTGTGTGTGTGTGTGTGTGTGTGTGTAATAAACAATACAACTCATCTCCAAAGCTGCAGAGAGGCCGAGTCCTGAATATGTCAGCTCGACTCGCCAGATAGTCTGACACCACACACACACACACACACACACACACACACACACACACACACACACACACACACACACACACACACACACACACACACACACACACACAGTGAAAGCAGAGAGAAGTTGAGTTTTCTGAAAGATTGAAAATCAATGTGTCTTAATGACCCTGGTCTGCTGCTCATTTCATTAACTTACACACACACACACACACACACACACACACACACACACACACACACACACACCGATAGATTAATTAAGAGGAGGTGGCAGCTGTATGACCTTACTTCAGCAAAAATATCTGGTGTAAAAGTCTACTGTACGACACCAAAACACACACACACACACACACACACACAGACACACACACACACACACACAAAATTAACAAATTTCATTAAGTCACGGCGGCTCAATGTTCCCTCCTCAGCAAAAACCGCTCCACCGTCCGTCTGATCACTTTTACTGCTTTCTACCTCAAACACACACACACACACACACGCACACACACACACACACACACACACACACACACACACACAGAGGGCTGTAATTAATAACGCATTGATATTAAAATGATCTTTTCTGCAGAATTGACCGCATTACTCATAACCGTGTGTTTGTCCACCTCTGTGAGGACACAAGCGTGCCGACGGTCCTCACAAGGATAGGAGCTGGAGTGTGTGTGTGCCGGAGTGATGACCGCACGGCTGAAATATGTGGAATACCGACCGATTGCAAGAGAGAGAGATGTGTGTGTGTGTCTAATGCGCTGATTTTCCATTAAAAGCAGCCAGCTGAGCCCAACGGAGCAGCATAAGTCATCGTAGCGCACACACACACACACACACACACTGGGTAAGAAAATGAAAGTGCTGTGAACACTCTCTGACTCCACAGATGACAATCAGGCCTGATGACGGCGAACACAGCTCCTATCTGCAGCGACGGAGCTCACAAAGACACAAACACTGATCCTGAACCGAGATGCAACGCAAACCTGAGAGACGAATCTGAGGGCTGACAAACGAAGACACAACCTGCAGTTCATCAAATGTCCACCAGAGGCTGAGTGGCAGCTTTG